CCGAACTCGAATATTCGAATTTTGATGCAAAATATTTGATAAGTCGAATAATCAAATAAGTGCATTTTTTCGATCAATCAACTATTCGAAGAATTGAAGTACTTTCGAGTATTCTAAATTCGAATTATCGAAATGTCTTAATTTTTACTCAATACAAATTTTCGGTCTCAACTAGTACTTTTGCAACCTTAGTAGGTTTTTGCAAAAGCTATTTTAATAAACCTTATTTATCAGCCATCCTCATCGCCGCGCAAGGTGACTTCATTGGCTGGTTCTCGGAGAAAAGTAACTGTTTCCGGATGGGAAAGATTTCAGTTACTGTCCAAGGTTAGTCTTGCAGACGTAGAGAAAAAGTGATGACTTTATTTATAATTGCCTTAGCCTGTCTACAAAGACGTTCATTTACGAATTTCTTCCAACAAGACACAATCTTCGATGTTTGTTGCTCCATGGAGGTGTCGGTCTATCATTGTCGACAATGTGAAGTTCTGTCCAGCAATAGTATTAGGACCAACTTACGGTTCTGTGGTGCTAAGAGAGGTAGCTTATCTTTTCTAATTACATCCCATACTTACCGTTAGTTTCAGGTGCACAACACCAACATAAGCGTTGCGTGTAAGCAGTTATACCTGTGGAATTGTTCCAACCTCACAGTATTTCTGCATTCCTTTCATCCTCCAACTGTCAGAATGTGCAGCGGTGTTCGCTTTGCTCCATTCAATGTTTCCTACGAGGTTATAGAAGAGTTTTGTCAAGAGAAGTTTACAATGAGAGTTGAGTAATTTAGGGTCTAGAGGAGGAGATGGTGGCAGCCGGCCTGAACTGCAACCAATATAGAACGCCGAAACGTGTAGTTAATGTAAGTACAGGGAAGTTCATGAAACTTTAGCTTCAAGAGCGAAAGGGACGGCGTTGCTAACCAAAAAGCTGGAAATTTTCATTGGAACAAGGAAAGAAAGTCCAAAAACCAGTTCTTTAGACAGACTATGACTGTTTAGCCCATGCTCTTAATACAAGGCTTCCTAGGAAAACGCAGTTTTGCTACGCTAGGCCATAAAAGATAGTCTGTGAGCGTAAATTTCTCCAAAATTGAATCTGGTGCGCATTTACCTTTTTCTGCAAAGTTATCTCTTTGAAAACATATTTAAATCTTCTTTTACCCCCCTTTTTTTCCTTTTCTTTTCTTCTTGCCAAGTTTATATAAATCCACATTATTTACGTTTCACGGTAGTCTATTCTAATGAAAAAAAGTCTTACGCCTGATAACAAACCAACGGAGTTTGCGTCATTTGCACCTCAAAGACTCCTTAGGCGCGCTTGCTTCCTAGCAGTTATCAATGGGTTCCACCAATTTTTTTTCAGTCATCATGTTTTCGAGAGATCCTATGGAAAACGGCTAGACCTGCTAGTTAGCGATTTTTGAAACTTAGAACAAAAAAAACCATTATTAATCATACACACCAACAATGTGATCGATGATCCAAAATATTCGAGAATCCCATGCAGAATACTCAAAAAGTGAAGCCGCCATAATTACCGCCCCTATGTCATGGGTAGCAGTTCGTTATAACTAAACACAAGATTTAGCTGGACGACTCGGAAACATCCATACTTCCCACCACAGAGTTCTATATTCAACCGGTCCCTATTGTTAATAACGAAAATAACATTAAGGTGAGCGCTACTTTTTTTATAGAATAACCTCCTTATTTACGCTTTTTTTTTCTCCAGGATCTCCTCAACAAGCTCCCTCCGCCGTATCGCAAACAATGGGAAGATACGCTACAACAGCTGCACTCTGAATCCAATAATAATGTCGAATCACCACTAAAAAAGACGGATCTTTTTTACCTCAAAGGGAAAATTGCCTAAATGACAAAGAGGCTTAGAAAATGTGTTATGATAGAACAAATATTCACGTATCATTGCCACATTATGCCTTGGATGTTTTCTACTACGTAGGTGCATGTGAGTGTAAAGTTGCCTTATTCCTGTCAATATCAGTGTAAATCTTTGTCATCAATTATTATGAAAAGCTTTTCTCAACTCAAGATTTTCAATTAAAAGATTAATTCTTAACTTTTTATGTTAGACAACTTATGTGACTTGGTATTAAACAATTTACACCATTTATGGAGTAAGTTTTCATAGAGTAAATTAATTTTACTAGATCACTTTCGCAGTAAATCAGGTTTGTTTCGCTTACTGCCTGAGCATCGTGGCTTTCCAGTAAAAAATTAC